TTATTATTGTTTAAAGTTTTAAAAAAATTTACTTAGAAAAAATTTGCTTGATTTCTATTGACTCAACCCCATATATTGATTCTATATTTTTATTCAATGATAAAATACTTACTAAGTTTTCATTTTTACATGCTACAGGTAACATTTCTAATAAAGCAATATTAAAAGACCTTTCACAAATAAAAATAAACTTTGCAATATTATTTATACCTTGTCTACCAACGATAGGAGTCATCCATGCTTTACATGAATATGAATGCGAAGTATATATTGGATTCAGTTTTTCAAGTTTTCTCTTTTTCGCAATTTTTTCTATTTGAGTAGAAGACCATACTTTCCAATTTCTAATCCCTGGCAAAGCTCGTGCATAAATACTTCTAATATTATCATCATCTACTGGCCAGGTCTATTCATAAAAATTCGATATTCCTAATATTGTACCCAATTTACCTTTCTCTAATTTATAAATCACTAATTATTTTTAGATCATATAAAATTACTTATTATATAATATTTCTTACCAAAATCTCTATTCAGCATTATATTAGCAACTCTTGTGCCAGCAATATTACTTATAGCAGCCTTTATATCATTTCCTGATTCAAGTTTATAGCCAAGTTTGATGTATTGTTTTATAGCATGAGAAATCTGATTATAAAATCCGTATGTAAATATCAGATATAACTTTTTGTATAACTCATTAGATTGTGAACTTTAAAAGTTGTCTAAAATCACAAAAAAAAAAAAAAAAAAAACTCTGAACCAAACCAAAATATGCTAGCTTATCTGTTAATTTACAAAACAGTAAAAATATACAAGAGATTTGCGTTACAAAAAAAAAGTTCAATAGTATTATACCTGTACATGATGCAAATCAATAACAGTTTTTGCTTCACCTGCTTCAAGAAAAATCTATCGACGAGGAGTAATATTATACCAATTTTGCTATTGTTTAACAATCAGCATCAATTTCATACAATGATAATGCATTCCATTGTCTGATAAAATTGTAACCCATTTAGGCTTTGGATCTATAGTTTTAAAAACTGTATGCAAAGATGATGCTATAAACCAGACATCCTGGTGAGTATCATTACTCTAATAATCGAAAATCTGCATGTTCAAACAATTATTTGTAAGATCTTTAGTATATACAAGTATTGAATAGAGGCTCCATCCTCTTTTGCCAAAAAAATCTTTCTTAGATTCACGTGACGATTGGGTAAAATCTTCATTTTGTAGTCGACGATTATTACTGCTTCCTCAGAGTCAAGTTCGGCAAGATTAGTTCTGACATGGATATTCAGATAAGTTTTACAGGCATGATAGCTCATCCAAGCTATGAGTTTTTGTTTGTATTTATTCAAAATTTCATCATGTTCTCTATTCAATGCTGCCTTGAGTTGTTTAAAAAAAATTGTAAAATATCTTCACATTGTTCACATACTACAGGATGTGGTAAGTCACAGGCACCAAAGGCAAAAAAAACACAATGACTAATACAAGGGTTGTGAAATGCAATTCTATTTGCAGCAATATCTAATTTTTTAGAAAATTCTCAACATATATATCTTCTCAAACTTTTCATTTTTTCTAATAAAAGTTTCTATTATACAAAATATATGTTAAAACCAATATTTGATTATAATATTATTCTTATAATAAATAATATTTACTTGCAAATTCTCATCTGTTATATGTGCTAAAACTAATAATTTTATATCTCCAAATACTAGATACCCATAATTATTGCAAGTATTGCACAAGCCACTGGGATGTGTCCTATTGGTCAATTTACAAACATAGTGCACATGATATAGTGAAAATCACTAATAAAGATTTTTATAATAAAATTTTCAGATCTGCACTCTATATTAAACGATTATAAAAAAAGGCTTTACTTCGCCTTTAATTCCTCTTGTAATACTTGATATTTTTTAATTTTAAGAAAGTAAGTTGTTTAATAAATGTTGTCTTTTCATAATAATAACATTAGAATTTTATTTTACTAATTACAATAGACATTTTTTTTTATGGTTAGTTAGTTTATATTAAAAAATCATGTGATAGATCTTTCATGTTGCACATAGAAGATAACGATATAAAACTTTATTGATAAAACTTTTACTTTATTAGATATTACAATATTTATAATAGAACAAAAATTCACTGAATATAACAATAAAATCAAGCTAAGTTATATTATTTA